TTTTGGGAGTTGAAGTCCATGCATCTTAAAATGGCTAAGGTTGAGAAACACTGTTTTAGAGGGATGTGTAAGTTCTGACATATTCTAATGTGTGGTATAAAAGTAAAAGGGTCTAACCTTCCAAAAAGTTGTGAAAAAAGTATAGCTCAGAGAGCTCTGTATTAGAGAAGAGCCTCATTTTATGCCTCCCAAAAATTCTGATGCTGGGAAATGTAAATAACCTGCATTGTGACTGTTCAGATATGCTTAGTACAGGTATTAAGGGAAAAAAAACTGGCTAAACCCAAGGAAAAAAATAGAAAATTTTAATATTTTCCACATTGTATGTGTTTGATGCAACCCTACCAAGTGTGATCCAAGCTCTCCCTATCTTACAACTAAATTGTTCTCAACTATTGATTGTTCAAAAATATTAAATAACAGCTGCTCAAAAAATTAAAAAGATAATCTATTTTATAATAAAAGTTGTAGGAAAATTGTAAAGTGTAACTAAATGTTTATACACAAATATTAGTGGTCCAATATTAGGAACTTTAGATTTCCTTTTCATTATTTCCAGCCCAAAAGAATGTTGGAACTAATTATGTAAAGGCACTTTGCCCATTATCAGAAAAATGAATAAAAAACAAAAAGAAAATGAACCAGATTTGGTCAGGGGAGAATAACCAGAATAACCAGAAAAAGAAAATAATACATTTATATATATATACACATAGAGAGACAGGGAGGGGGGGGAGGAGTGGGGGGAGAGGTAAATGTTCAAATATGAAGAATTGTTTGAGCAAGTTGTCTTACGTTACGCTTTACTCTCCATGCAAAATTATATGGTGCACTGTAGTTTAAAAATGCTTTTGCTACTTTTATTTCAGAATTTGCAATGTCTGACAGAAACATTATCATGACTACAGCTGGTTGTATAGAGAATCTACTGCATAAAAAAAATTACCAAGATATTGGAAGTCATCTTGAATATCTTGAAACTGTTGATATGACTATAAACAATCTCCAAGAGACTGATATTGCCAAAGCTGTTTTCCAAATCCTCAAGAACTGTCCCTCTGTAGTACTGAAAAACAAGTCTAAGCATTTATTGTCAAAATGGAAAACACTTTATAAAAAATATCAATCAATGCATATTAAACCAAGAGCCAGTGATATGGAAATTTCTATTAGGAATGATCAGGTAGTCTTGGAGAATAGAAATTATTGTGAAAAAGAAGATCAGCTTGAAAAAGTAGATTCTGTCAGTTCCAAGAATTGCCTGCCATCAGAAAACGGTTCAAAAGCTGTTAGAAGTAATGTGCAAGAGGATTATGCAATTCAATCAGAACATCTGGGAATCTCATGCTTGGATAGCAAAATAAACCCATCTGGTGATCCCATTACACCTCTAAGGTCTAAATGTGTAGAACTTCTCAACAAAGCTTTGCATGATTCTTCAACAAGCAATGAACAAAATGAAAAGCATCACAAATTAGCAGAAGAAATTGAACAGCACATTTTTTCAATGTATGCAAAAAATAATAGAAAATACAAAAACTGTATCAGGAGCAAAGTTTTAAACTTGAAAAATCGTAAAAATTTTCATTTAAAGACTAACTTGCTCACAGGTGCTCTTAATCCCAAAACATTTGCTGATATGTCTGTGATGGAAATGGCACATGATGAACTGAAAGAGCTCAGGACTTCATTTACAGAGTCATCTGTTCTGGAACATCAGCTCCCCCAAAATATCAGTGGTACACATACAAGCAAAATAAAATGTAAGCGCTGTGAAAAATATGATTGCACTATTACTGTCATTGCAAGGGGAGCCCTTTTCCTTCCTGGTTGGGTGCAGAATACAAATCCAGATGAACAAATGATGACTTACGTGATTTGTAATAAATGTGGAGAGCAGTGGTACCATAGCAGATGGATCTGTTTATAAGATTGTACATTACTTAGAAGAAGTAAATATAAAATATGAAGATAACCCAGAGCAAATATTTGAATATAGCAGTATTGAAAATGCTTAAATGGTTCTGTGCTGTAATAAAATGTGAACGTGAATTACTGAACAAATGATTGTAAAATATTGGAAATTGTCTAGAAAGCAGAGTATGACTCAGGCCAGTTCGTAATAGCAAATCAGCATTACTATAGTATCAATGCCATGCAACTTACAGATAATAGGATATTTTAAAAGCATTGTTAATCGAGTAACTTTTTACATTCATTTGAAGACTTAAATTTTAGTTGGTAAATTTCTAGGAATGAAGTTTCCTGACTATTTCACAATCCTTGAAATTCCTCCATCTTTGGTAGTCCACATGAGAAGACCCAAGGGATGTCATGATAATGAAGATCTCTCTCCCTCTTTCGCACTAACTCACATACACTCACACCCACACTCACACACACAAGATGTCCTTGATATGAAGGCAGTGTTTTTGGAAATGTGAGTAATTATTCTGTAGATTTCAGTTCAAGTTGAAGGCAAATGTTAATTTAATGTCTTTTATGATAATATAGCTCAGTGTATTTATATCACACTAATATTAAAACAGGTTTATTAATTTACCTGTTAGTTTCCTGAACCAACTGAATGTGCAGTTTCTTAAGCTTTTAAAGACTTAGTCCAGAGACTAAGGAAGTACCTTTTCCTATAACAGCCAGGTGTTTTATTATTTCTTACACTAAATTTGCCGATAAATAGACAGTCAGTGGCTACCTGTCAAGTTTCTAATCAGTCAGACAGTACTTTTCAGTGCTGCGGCTTTTATGGAGAATGATGAATTAGATAAGGGGTGTCAAACTCACGGCCCGTGAGGATGCATCACATGCTGACCCCGCCAACTCCTGGTTTAGCCAAGGGGAAAAAAGTTACGCTATGTCACATGACAACGCTGTGTCATCACGAGTTTGACACTCCGGATTAGATCAATTTTATTCTAAGCCATAAAACTTTATAATTAATACAGATTTATTATGTTTTATTTCTAGGTATACTCAGTATGGTGGTTCTGGGTGTTCCTTCTTGGATTCATCTTTAGTTCTAAGTTTTTACACTAATGCATTTTAATCCTGCCAGTGTAACTAGTTACTAAATAAATATGATTTTTTTAAAAAAAAAAAGTTGATAAATAAAGCCAATACTCATTAAAATTATAGTTTTTTTTTATTTCTGGAAGAATAATTGAAGCATTTATGACTTAGGTATTCATGTTATTAGAGTTTATTGCCAAACCCAAAAACCAAATATATGCATGCGTACCCATTGTGCTAATCTCTTCTGAGATAAACATTATGTAAAGTTCAGAAAAGAAATGAAAAAATAGTAAGCCAAACAAAATAAAGCAAGGAAGAAAAATCAGTATTATTTATTTCCCACCTTTATTATTTTTACAAATAACTCAAGGTGGCAAACATCTTCAACATACTTTCCTCCCCCTATTTTCTCCACACCAACCATGTGAGATGAGTTGGATTGAGAGTGACGCCCAAGGTCACCCAGGTGGCTTCCATAGCCAAAGGCAGGACTTGAACTCGATCTCTTGCTTTCTAGCCTTGTGCTTTAATCATTAGACCAAACTGTCTATCCAGTTTGAAATAATAAAAATTAAATTTAGTTAAATATTAATATTTATACTTGTTTCTTCATTACCTTTCATTCTTACAATTTTACTCTTTCGCAGGGATCTTATCAACCATCTATTCACAACTTCCTCAGTCTTTCTTTACTCTTAACTAGTTACATATTTGTGATTAATTCCTTCATTTTCCCATGTAACCAAATCACCTTTATGTTCTTATTTTGTACTATTGGTTCAATTTTGTATTCAATATATATTCATATAGCACCCATTCACCCCATATTTTCTTGTTTATCACACACTACACTGATCTTATGACTTTCCTGACATAACCAGTTCTTATTTAAGTGGGCAGAAGCATTCTTCCACTTGGTCATTTTACTTTTGACACACACCTCATTCAACTACTTGTAATCTTTCTCCCAGCATCTGCCACCACTCCCCCAGCATTTGTAAGCACTCTGCTAAGATTTATCTACTTGTTTTAATTTTTAGTCTTATAACTATCAATTGTTCACTGCATTTTTCTTATCAAGATTAAATATATTGGTTTTGGGTACATTTCAGATTCATCCTCTTTGTTCAATCATATAGTCTTTGCTACAGATTACTAGGGCTGTAAATCAACAACACAGCATTGGCTGTGTATAAAAGTATAAGTTTGCACATCTCCAAGTAATATCTCTCTAACATCACAACTAACTCAGTTTAGTGTGCATTACATGAAACAAAGTGAAAATGGCTTTAAAAAAATATTATATTGTTCCATAAGCATATGTGAGGCAAAACAGCCACCTTTCTTGAAAATGTAGATTAGGTGAGAATTTTATTGATAACCATTATAAAGTTTTGGTGCAACATTCAGCACAGATCGTGTGCTAGACCAAACCTTTGTGCTTTGCCTTCTTCAGTGCTAAGGATAGAGAACAGGGCTACTTCATACATAGCTAGAAGTTGCCTAATGATTGATTCCACACTACAAGTTGCAATGGAAAACTAGTATTTTTCCAAAGAGATTTGCAATAAGGCCTCATTTCACTAAATATTGTCTTACAAATCTGTGGGAAGAAATATCCATCTGGTTCAGTTCCAAGCTAGTAGAAAGACAAGACTGGAAACACAGAGGCTGATTGGAAAGATGGTTTATTGATGAAGCAGAACCACATGGGTTTGTGGTTCTAGGCAGCTGACCAGATGGAGTTCAGAGTGGGGGAGTTTTATACCTTCTTTGAGTTTTGTATTTGAGGTTCCTGTTCCTGTGCAATAACATGTATTATATTGGCTGTTGTCAAATTCCTATGGGGTCATATAGGGGTCATAGCTGGCTCCAAAGGCAAAAGAGAAAATGCAAATCCTAGGTGTCTGTCTGAGCTGTTTGGATGGAGTTTTGACTGCTCTGAGGGTGGTGCAATATCTGAAATACCCTTAGGAAACACTTCAATATAATGAGTTGTGTGTCTTCTGCTAAATGGTAGTGGGTTAATTCTATTATGTCCTGAAGGGTCATGTCCTGCTCTTAATCCCATCACCCTTGAGTTGAACATCTTTGATTTTGTAGATAGGCTGGCCCAGTCTGTTTGGGGCATATTAAGAAAGAGTGAATCTGCCTCTAAAAACTCCATTTCTCATTTAGGAAAATATATTGTACTATCCTGCCTCTTTTACATTCCTCAAAACATTTCATTCTTCTAGGAGGGGAAGGGGGGTGCTGAAATCCATAGTGATAGCACCTAGATACCTTATCTCTTGCAGGCCTCTTTGCATTGCATTTCAATGAATTTATTTACTAACATTAGGATCTCCTTGGAAAAACAACTACGCGTTCAACATTTTTTAAAAGCTTAGCTTCATTACTAGGGCTTCCAGCGATTACTCTGGATCTACTGTATTTCATCAAGTATATTGACGGCCTGGTTCTTAAACAATCTTGTCCAAGCAGCATAATTCAAAGGCATGAAATGTCAGAACCCAAGAAAAGAAATACTTTATAGACTACGAGACCTACAGAAAACAAAAAAAGTTGCAGGAAGACTGACTTAACTTGTTCTTCCGCGAAATTTTCAAGCAGGAACGAACTGTACGGGCCTCGCTGTTTTCCAGAGGCCCAGCAAGCCGATCGGACACACGCAAAGAGGCGGGACGGCCCAGACAGTCTGCAATTAGAACCGCGAGTCTAGAGAGGGGACGAGGCCCCCGTAACCTAGCAACAGCCTCCCTTCCGCTCAATTGGGCCGAGAATCGGCGAGCCGAGGCTGTCCTCGTCTGATGTCACGTGAGGGCCAGATTCCGCCCTCCTAGCGCAGCCCCGGCCATGTTATTTCCCTCTCAAGCTCCCTCTCTTCCTCTCTGTCGCGGTGGCCGTAAGTGCTCCGGGCCGGCTATCGGCTCTCCGCTTTCTTGACAGGTGAGCGCGTCCCATCTCTGGCCTTATTTTACCATAGATGGGCTCAAGAAAGAACCCAGTTCTTCCGGGATGCGGTTCCTGGCCCCGAGGACTCCGGGCGTCGGCTTGCGCTTTTCATGGCTGCTTACACTAGATGGGGAGGAGGCATTGGCGATGTTTCCCTCGCCTCCCGTCGTATATTTTGGAAAGGGTCCGGTCGAGGGGGTGGCTCTTGGTCGGTCCTTGGTGCAAGAGGGAGGGTCCTAAAGACAACGTTGCTTGTCAGGACTCTCGAAAAAGGCCCGCCTCGGCAATTGGGGGGGGGGACGGGGGGACGGGACTGCAGAGTCTCTTGCAAATGGTCCTGGCTGACGGGCTTCCTAGCGTGAAACTTGAGGAAACAAAGCCTTCGGGGGCAGCCTTATCCCGCACAATTACGCCCCCCCCCTCTTTTTTTAAGCTGTAGGGAGAAAGTTATCCTTCTAAGATGCCCCTCTGTTCTTTCCAGTGGCGTGATAAAAAGCCCCGTGATCAGGAGGAGACGGCGGTCAAGTTGGGAAATTGCTTCCCTTCTGTACTTCTCAGTTGGCGCGTGACCAAGTTATCCCTGGGGCAAATAAGCCAAATTAATTAAAATCACTGGACTGTCAGAGGACGGTTCAACAATTTATGTATGTCTTCTTTGTTGCATTTTTCATGTGGAAAATCCCTTCTCCCCCCCCCCCCCCAAAAAAAAGAGATAATCAAGCTATGCTGCTCATTTGTTGTGCTGCTGCTTTTTGTTTTGATTAAATTGAGTTTTAAAAAATATTTTTCCTCCTATTTGTGCAGTTAAGTGTAAAAAGGGGCCTAGGTGACATAAGATGTGTCTTAAGTGGGTAAGAGAGCAAAGCAACCTTTTTAGCTGATCATGAAAACAGTCAGATTTTTAAAATATATTTATTTTCATTAGCAAGATGAAAAATTGTAGACTGTCTTTACAGCATGACGCAATATTTTAAAAGAACAGTATCTAAAAGCAATTTTTAATTGTAAACTCAAAGAGTAAAGAACTACCCTGATTTTTGTTTTCAAAAAAACCAAACCCATGAAGACTGTAATTAAAGATACAGTGGGCTTTTTTTGCCCCAAGCCCATAGACTATATACAGTAGATCCACTCAAAAAAGGATGTATAGTATGTACTTTTTGCTCTGTAAATGTTGCATTTTTATAGTTCTCAGTTGGATGTAATGAATATATGAATTTGTTATGCTCTATTTTACCCAACTGCTCAAGTTGCTCTTCATAGTATTGATCGGAATATTTAGCTTTGAATTCTAAATACAATTCTAAATATATATTTGAAAAGCTTTGAAGTATGTATGTGTATGTATGTATGTGTATATATGTATATATATATATATATATACACACACACACACAAACACTTATGTTTTGATATATAGTTATGATTTTGTTGTATTGTTTCAGTGATTTATTAGTAGCACACTGAAGAAGCTTAAGGAGATACATGGTCAACAACCCCTGCCAAATTGTTCCAGTGGTAATAGGACTTATCATAGTTCAGCTTTATCATAGTTCACACAATAATTTCAAAATGCTAACAAAATATTTGTACACAATTGTTCATAATGGAAAAGGGGAATTGCTAGATGTTAGTGATCTGTGGCCTCTACTATCTAGATTACTGGAAAATTGAAGTTTTGAATAGCATCAATAGCATCTATATGATTATTTCTATAGGTTTATTTGAATAAGACTCAAATAATATCGCCTTTTTTCAAGACTTTTAAATACAAGTATCAGCTAGACTTATACTAAGTCATGAGTATAGTTTAAAGCAGGAGTGTCAAACTGGCAGCCCATGGGCTGGATGCAGCCCCACACCCATTCCAGCTCCCCAAGGGCAAAAAAAAGTCATGATATGTCACGCAATGTCACATGACACGATCAAGTTTGACACCCGTGGTTTAAAGCATCACTTCTAAGACATTTTTCATTGGATTACAGCAATATAAATCTAAGTGGGGATAACATATTGTTAAAATTCATAATTGAAATAAATTGAATTAATAATTGAATAATTGAATTAAATAGTTGAGCATTTAGTTAATGCCACTGAAAGTAATGTGGAATATAATATTAATATTATTCACTATTTCACTAGATATGATGATTACATGTAGAATAAAACAATCTACTCCAGAACTAGCAACATGGTACCCTTACATTTGATTAGCGAATTGTAATATACTTGAAAGTATCCACTTTATGTCCCTGGTCTAATTTTTGTAAATATGTTAATACTTCCTGTAATCATTGTGATACCATGGCCAATAAACTGTATTTCCCCCAAAACAAGACCTATTCCAAAATCAAGCCCAAGCATGTTTTCTGCCTATGCGCTCAATATAAGCCATACCCCCACAAAATAACTTAAATGCCTGCACACCCGACCACCTGCCCATTCTGTCTGGTTGCTCGCGGTGCTGCCGACACAAGGTAAGGTGAGGTGAAAGGGTGGCAGAATGGCTTACCTCAGGGCCCTCGCAGCCAGGCCATCCACGCCCCAACAACTGCCACACACGGCAGTATCAACACCCATGTGCAGCAAGAGCCTACTTGGCCGCCGGCCCACTTCTTCCGGCGCTGGCATGGCACCAGAGCAGGGTGCTGAGTGATGTGTTGGTGCTGTGGCCGTGAGGCAGGAGGGTGGAACTACCTCAGGGCCCCGCAACCAGGCCACCCATGCCCCGAAAACTGCCTCGTCTTGTACCAGCGGCTCCAACAGCCTCATCCAGCAAGACCCCGTGTGGTCGCCAGCCCACTTCTGCTTGCTCGCAGCCACAATGGAGCAGGAGGCTGAGCGATGCACCGTTGGCACGGCCACAAGGAGAGGCAGGTGTTGGGGTGTGGATGGTCTGGCTGCTGTGGCCCTGAGGTAAGATGGTGCATGAGGTAGCTCAAACCCTTCACTTCGCCTTGTGGTCTTGGCACCAGTGCGTCACTTGGCCTCCTGCTCCGGTGCCATGCTGGTGCTGGAAAGAAGCCCAGTGGCCACGCGGGGTCTTGCTGGACGGGCTGCCAGAGCCGCCACTGCAAGGTGAGGTAGGTGTTGGAGTGTGGATGACTAGATGTGCCACCCTTGGTGTACCATGCTCTGGGTGACACATAGTGAGCAGTTTGTGCAGGTACTGTAGCCCATTGAAATCTATCAGAGAACTGAAACTTTGTGAATTAGCACACATCCTGGTTTAAGTTCCTGTGCAGAGTTTGAAGCATAATATAATTTTGCCTCCCTTGTTATAGATCAGCAAGCAAGGTATATGAAACATTTCCTGAAATAAATGTATTGCCTGTTTTGAGTTCTTATGCTTTGATTCAGGACATAACTGAACCAGTAATTCTATCCTATGCCACCCATCCCAGATTTGCAGTAAGAGTCTTTTCAGCCAACTAGCTAGAAAGACATAAGCACATAAATACATGATGTTACTGGTTTACGCAAATGTTTACCCTTTTTTAGGTGCAAATATCTCCATTTTGTAGTTTTTAATTTGTTTTTTATGTCGTTGGAAAGAACGTCATTTCTGCTACAAAACTCACCATACTTCACTTTTGGATCCAACCTTTTGGTCAGAATTAAGGCCCAAAGACATGCATAATTTGGACGCATGAATGCTCTATATTAAAAAAAAGTTACCTTTACCATCAGACTGTTTGACATATAAATGAGCTAGAGGTGTAAAATTTCACAGTTCAGCTGAATCTTATTGTGCAGACCATGCTTTCAGTTTATGATACTGTTAAGACATAAATCCATAAATCAATCCTTTTGTAAAATTCTGGTATATTAATTACTGTGTACTAGTTAGTGATGGCTAAGCCACATTTAGCAAAATTGGCAACTCCATCACCTAGGGGGCCATTCCCGATATCAGGCAAGGTATCAGCCATGGGTTTGCAGACTTTTAAGAAAAAAATAAAAGTCACTGTGTTATCACGGAAACAATGTGCCTACAGAGCAGCAATTAGCTTTGTTTGTCTGTAGGCCAGTTCTAGTCACCTGTTTACCTGACATGGAATGAATACAAAATATTCATACGAAGTTTAAATACTGCCTGTTATGTTGCTGCCTCCTCCCTCTCACTTACTAGTACATAGTAAAAATACATAAGATTTCAATTTAATTTTAAAGAAAATGGGTGTGCAAAGATTTCATTTAAGTGAAAACAAGTTGAAGGTTGTGGAATTTAATAAATGCTTATGTAATGTTGTATAAGAATAATTTGATTATAACTTCCTTTGGAACATATTAAGCATATTCCATATCATAATAAAGTGTATTAATTTTAAAATGCATACTTGGCAATATGTCTTCAGTAGTAATATAATCTCTCTCTCTTTTTTGGCAGGTATTTAATTATGATTTACACTGAACAGTAAAGGTAACTATTTTGATCAAATGTTCCATATAGTAATAATACTCATATTTAAATGATGAATAAATAAGACATTTGTAACAAAAATGTATTATATGCACATCCAGATAGAAGTAGCAAAGGAAGATTAGATATTAATCTAGATGAGACAGACATAATGCATGTTGGAAAGAGGTTTCAAATAGACTATTTCCCAATATTTATGTTGTGATATTCAGGTTTGGGGGAAAAAATCCAAAATGACTGACTGAGAAGACAACTATGAATGCAGCAAGTTCAAATGTATTTATTTAATTTATATGCCACCCATCTCAAGCTTCAAGGTGACTCTGAGTGGCAGAGTAATAAAACATATTTTATTATGTAATAATACAGATAAAAACAATTATATATATTAAAATTACAAAATCAAAGGTAAATGTGTGTAATGTATGAACATGCTAAATATACTACATTAATACATAATAGTATTAGACATTACAATTGTAGTTATATTTAGTCAGCACTCTCCCAAGCATTCAGAAAGTATTCAGACCCCTTTCACTTTTGTCAATTTTGTTATGCTGTAGCCTGATTCTGTGTTGAAATTCATTTTTTCTCATTAATCTATACTCAGTACCCCGTAATGACAAAGTGAAAACATAATTTTAGAAATGTCTATAAATTTATTAAAAAGAAAAAACTCGAATATCATTGGCATAAGTATTCAGATCCTTCACTCAATACTTTGCTGAAGCACTTTTGACACAATTGTCTAAGGAGGTTCTCAGTTATCCAGATCATGGTTGTCCCAAAGGTGGTCTTTCAAGAGGCAACTGGACCAGAAAGTCCTTTGGCACAATTACAGCCTTGAGTCTTTTTGGGTATGACACAACAAGCTTTGCACACCTGGATTTTTTCCTTGCAAATCATCTCAAGCTCAGTCAAGTTGAATAGTGACCATCGGTGGACAGCCATTTTCAGGTCCCTCCTGAAATGTTCAATAGGGTTCACGTCAGGACTCTGGCCGGGCCAATTTAGGTCATTCAGAGAGTTGTGAATACTGCACAGGTACAATGAATTTTACCAGCACTATACATTAATAAAATTTTATCACATTTAAGGAAATTGAATCATACTGGTTTGAGAAAGGTTGACTATACATAAATTTTCTGAGTACTTAACAAAGTAGTTATCAATGGGGCTTTATGTCCCATAAGTTGGAGAATATTTATATTTTATAATTTGTATTTATATTTGTATCATTTATCAATTTTTAAATGCTTTTAAAAGCTCACAGCACATAGAGTCACAGTTTCAGTTGGGTGGCCTTACAAATCTTAAAATTAAATGGATAACTATAACAATTATATTTATATTTAATGTGTCGTACTATTTTGGCAAATTACTTAAAATGTTTACCCTGATTACCTAGGCCAATATTCCTCAACCTTTCCAGATTGGCAGCCTAGTGCAGGGGGAGAAGAGGGGATTGTTTTGTGTGAGGAGCAGACACGGGTGCGTGCCCAGCTTCATTTGTGTGAGTGGCAGGCACGAGTGGGGATGCAAGTGCTCTGGCGCTCATGTAAGTGGGGCTCTGAATGCAAGTGCTGTGCGTATGGCCTACTTGCAAATTGGCTGCAGCCCACAGGTTGGGGACCCCTGACCTATACAGTTCTTATTAACATAAGACCTGAAATTGAGAATAATTCTTATTGTATTTCACTGAAAATTTTTATAAACATGATAGTCAGATTGTAGGAGTGTAAACTATCACAGAAGGAGGTAAGGAATATAGTGATTTGTTTTTTGTTTGTACCTTTACATTTGCACTATTTAGTCACTTTGAAAAGTGTTTAAAGAAATGTATTTTTCCCTTTTGTTTTTACATGCCACTTACACAGATCCCCCAAATTCTCTCTTAATTAGACTCTTCTTGTTGTTCTTCGCATTGTTCCCATCATATCATGGGGAAGTTGGAATTTTTCAACTCAACACACACACACACACACACACACACACACACACTTTTGTCTGCAGCATTGGCAATGGATATGCCTATGGCTTGCATGTCTTTCAAACTTAGACTGCGGAATATAAAATCTAAATGGCCATATTGCAAAAACTCTTTAACAATTGAGGAGATGACTTGGAATCAAAAGCAGAATGGAATCATATTAATGAAAATGCTATTAAGAGGATTAAAAAAAAAACCTTCCTCAAGTCAAGTTTGACTCCTGATTATGGAATATTTTTTCATTTCCATCCTAGTCCTAATCAGGCTGAACTCTTTCAAGATCAACCAAGGTTGGCCACCCAAGCTTATTTTGGGTGATTATAGTGTCCTCTCTATTAGAATTGTTGTTCAGCTGCTAAATAATGTTTGATTCTTGGCGAACCCTTTGGACCATAGCACATGAAGCTCCTCTATTCTCCATGGTCTCCCGAGTTTTCATTCGGGTAAATTGTGTCGATGACACTAACCATCTCATTCTCTGCCATCCCCTTTTCCTTTTGCCTTCAATCTTGCCCAACCTCAGTTTTTTCCAGTGAGTCCTCTCTTCTCATTAGGTGGCCAAAGTATTTCAGTTTCAGCTTCAATTTCTGTCTTTCCATAGTAAGTATTCTCCATCAGAATACTGTACAAATTTCTGCCTAATTTGTGGAATATACAGTATCTAATTGTACTAAAATCAGTCTTCTGGTTTTTTTGGCAAAAATATTTTTGATTGATTCACTAGCATATAGTTAATATTTCATGTTGAATTTATGTTGAAATGTTTGCAACGTGAGTTTTGTTTTATTTTATTTTGCAGATCTGGAGATCATAAAGGATCTATTGAAACAATGGCAACAAAATCATCGCTCCTTAAAGTAATCCTTTTAGGAGATGGAGGAGTTGGAAAGAGTTCAATTATGAACAGATATGTTACTAACAAATTTGATGCCCAGTTATTCCATACAATAGGTGTAGAATTCTTAAATAAAGAACTGGAAGTGGATGGACACTTTGTCACAATGCAGATATGGGACACTGCAGGCCAGGAACGATTTAGGAGCTTGAGGACTCCCTTCTACAGAGGTTCTGACTGCTGCCTTCTCACTTTCAGTGTAGATGATTCTCAAAGCTTCCAAAATCTGAACAACTGGAAAAAAGAATTCATTTACTATGCAGATGTGAAAGAGCCTGAAACATTCCCTTTTGTGATACTGGGTAATAAAGTTGATATAACTGAGAGGCAAGTATCTACAGAAGAAGCCCAGGTCTGGTGTAGAAACAGTGGCAACCATCCTTACTTTGAAACGAGTGCAAAAGATGCCACTAATGTTGCAGCAGCTTTTGAGGAAGCCGTTCGAAGAGTTCTTGCTACTGATGATAGATCAGATCACTTGATTCAAACAGATACAATAAATCTTCACCGAAAGCCCAAACCTAGTTCATCATGCTGTTGACTATTTAGCTTCCATTTTTAACTGGGAATAATAGAACATATGATTTATTGAATGGCACTCTAATATATTAAACTGTAATATTTTACTGCTTTATGTGCTGGCCAGAAGATTCTCTTCAATGTGACCTATTATTAATTAAATCGTATCTGACATTTGGGGAAGGTATTAACTCAAGAATTCATCTAATTTAAGTGTTTGAATAATAAATTATATACTAAAACTTGAAAGTTCTAGAAGCACTACTTGGGGACTCAGACGAGGAATAGAAATTTTATATCTACATGTATATTTTTGAGGTCACTAATTCATGTTTTGCTTCACTAAAACCTTTTTCATAAAGCAATATTAGTAGATAGTACATTCTTATTCACGATTGCATCTTTCATGTTTTTTAAAAAGATCTGATTTAATATAAATATTTTAAGGGCTTTTGCTATTTGCCTGTCACTGAACTGCCTGTAGATTTTAAGTTAGATAATAAATATGCATATATGGAGCCTGTCCGTGTTTGTCTTTATCTGTTCTTCTTGCCCAACCCTGGGCAGTAGATAATACATTACTAGGTTGTTGTTTTTTTAAAAAAAATGGATTGCAGTATGTCTTAAATCTTGACATAAGTTGTCAGGTTTTTAAACTACTACTACATCAGTTTCGATTGAAAATCTGTGAATGAAATCCCAAACAGGTTTGTTGAGTTTGGATGAGAATTACAGGTAGCCTTCGACTTTATGACCACAATTGAGTCCAAAATTTCTGTTGCTAAGCAAGACAGTTAAGTGAATTTTGCCCCATTTTACCTTTCTTGCCACAGTTCTTAAGTGAATCACTGCAGCTGCTAAATTAGTACCATGGTTGTTAAGAGAATCTGACTTCACCATTGATTTTGCTTGTCAGGTCGCAAAAGGTGATCACATGATCCCCAGAGACTGCAACTGTCATACTGTATATACAATTGCCAGGTGTCTGAATTTTGATTATGTGACCATGGGGGATATTGCAACAGTCAGTAAGTGTGAAAATGTCATGCCACTTTTTTCAGTGCCATTGTAACTTTAGACGTGTCACTAAACTGTAAGTCAAGAACTACCTGTATACTATAAATAGTTTTACAAGGCAGAAATCTTAATACAGGTATAAAGCTAACTTGAACAAGACAACTTGCAAATCACATGGTGTTTACAAATACCATGTAGATGAAATGCTCACTGCTCCAAGTCAAGCATCTATATTTAATTCCATTTCCAATTATACTATCTTTACATTTCTATTTTTGTATGTTTGTATAGTTACCATGTGCTAGTCTATTACTATTCCCCTGCTGTTTAGATACTATTTTAGTAGAAAACAGAATATGCTCAAGTAAGTACACTGATGTAGTTTTAGGGGACTGCACCACATTATTCAAAAAAATTAAGAACAGGTTTTAGACTTGAGAACTTGTGGTATTTTATTCATTTATATTTTCTTAACCACCCCATCTCGCTGTATTCTCTAGACTTACCTGTATGTAAAGGTAAAAAGAATTATCATGATGACATCCCAATGAGAAGTGTATGTTATAATATTTGGTCTTAAATTCATTTTGCTTTGCATAGCTACAATGGAAAACAAGGAATTCTAAATGCAGAAGTATTTAAATCACAACACAGAAAACATAAATACAAAGGTTAATGCTTAGATATTCAGAAACTGAAAATGTATTCCAACATTATTGAGTGATCTTCTGTCAACATATAGGATTTTCCTACTTGTGTGCATTCTTGTATGTTCCAATGTTGAGATAACATAGGCAGCTTAAAGAGAAGTCCCTTCCTGTATCACTGGAAACATCTCTGCTTTTCAACTTTCAAAATATACGTCTAATAAGACCCAAATTTAAGTTAATGTTCAGCTATAAAAGCTCATTTAGCTAGTCACTAACAATTGATTTGAAATACTCAAATCTATCCCATACAACTATATGGATAAATTTAGCAGGGTAACGTAGCAATAGCACTTAGACTTATATACCGCTTCACAGTGCTTTACAGCCCTCTCTAGGTTGTTTAGAGCCAGCATATTGCCCCCAACAATCTGGGTCCTCATTGGAAGGCTGAGTCAACTTCGAGCTGGTGAGAATGGAACTGCCGAGCTTCTGGCAGCAGGCAATGTATGCTCTGTGCTCCTAGAACTTAGATATACTATAAATCTTAGAAGTATGTTAACTAGAGTTCATTCTGTCCTTTAAAAATTCCTGTTCTCAGAAAATGTACAGTATATTAAATATTTGCACTATAATAAATGATTAGCATTACAGACATATAACTGACATTTAAGTCATTTGTGCAACTGTAACTTTATATTTAAGGGGTATTTTCCATAATGCCTGTGAAAAGTACTGTAAGATACATATTAATTCAAAAAACAGTGAAATCGTTAAGGATTTGTCTGAACTATTCAGTGACCTGGCAATAGCTTTGTATATTAGAGGTTCACTGAACAACGGGTAGCCATTTAAATTTGTTTATAAATAATGTGTTGTGGCCCACCAGTGGCCAGTAGAACTGGTGGCAGACTTGGACAGTGAGGAGGTTGGGGAGGAACATGGGCCAGTCCTGGAGTCTGGGGATAGCTCTGATGAGTGCTCTGCATCGGAGGCAAAGATGGGGCCAGGGCCGTCTGACAGTTATCACTTGCCTTTGGAGGCAGAGATCAGTGGGGCAGAAGAACGGTTGGAGCCTGTTCCCAATGTGCGCATGTGCAGAGCTGCCAGGAGAAGGGAACGGTTAAGGAACAAAGGTTGATTCGAGTAAAGCCACAGGTGGTGAATGGCCCCTCCCATAAGGAATAAAAAGCAAAAGGGAGTGGTGCTTGCAGGAGACAATTAGTTTAATTAGTGTGAAGGTTTGTTTATCTGAGTTCGTGACTCACAAAGACTCCTTGCCAAGTATTTCTTGTACAACATTGTGTTTGGAAGCTATCAGCCTGGCAACTCTCCAAGCTTGATAAGGTCTGTGGTTACAATTCACCCTTGAAAGACTGTTTGCTGCGACTTTGTTGGATGTGAATGATAGGAATTCACATTAGCCAAATAAAAAGGGGTTTTGTTGGGACAAGGAATCTGTTCTGCGATTTTGTGAAGCCTAGGTCAGAACATAATGAATTTACTTGATAAACCGCAATACATTCAAGTTATATCTTAATAGTTTGAGACAGAGGTGGTATTCAGCAGGTTCTGACCAGTTCTGGAGAACCGGTAGCAGAAATTTTGAGTAGTTCAGAGAACCGGCAAATGCCACCTTTGACTGGAGATTTTACAGTATCCTTCCCCTGCCACGCCCACCAAGCCACGCCCACAGAACCAGTAAAAAAAATTGAATCCCACCACTGGTTTGAGTGTTATTTAATGAACACTGTAGAAAATACTGGACAAATTATAGTATACCAATCAATAACAGCCATTTTATCCTCCAGCAGTTAATTTGCTATTACACCATCCAGTCCATTTATTTGTTTCACCCAGAAACCTCTGGAGCTGCTGTGCGACCACCTTCTGAATAACCTTCCCCCAAAAGGGAAAATTGGAGACATGTTGGAAATTATCCAACCGGGTGGGAGTCCAGCGATGGCTTCTTAAGGGTGGACCACAGCCTCTTTAAAGTGCTGAGGCACCATCCCATCCTATAGGGAAGCATTAATTTAGGCAATAAAATATTCTCTATAGAAAAGCTATGTAATAGAAGTTAATGGATCTGCATTCCTAAGTACATACATTAATATTTGAATACAAGAGTTGCCAGTGTTTGCCACTTGCAAGTTCTGGATGTCATTCATTTGGAGATATCCTATCCTTGTGAAAGTATGAAGGCACCAGGGCAGAAACCAGGAGACTAAATTCTAATCCTGCCTTGGGCATGAAAGCCGACTGGGTAACTTTGGGCTAGTCTCTCTATCAGCCCAATTCATCTCATATGTTCGCTGCTTTACTTGTAATAAAGATAGAATAAAAATTAATATTTAATGTGCCTAAAGTAGAGCCAAGCAACTTGTGACCACCTCCTGCTTTACATAAAGGTGTGCAATATTATTTGTATGAAGATATTATTTTACTAATATATGTTCAGAGAAAAGAGAAAGTGGGGATGGTTTCACGTGAGTGGCAGGCAAGCATGCACATGCATCTCTATTTGTGCAAATGGTGGGCACATATGCCCCGTTCGCACAAATAGAGAAATAGAGCTGCACGTGCTCACTTTTCCGTCCACTGCAGCACAAGTCCTTAACTTACTGACGTAATGGAACATTGTCACGGTCATAAGGCAGGCAGCACATGTCTGACTTGATTTTACAACCTTTATTTGGGGCAGTCATTAAGTGAACTCATTGTTCAATATGGGGCATTTTTGCTGAAAACTGGAATTTAATGTGGGGTTTTGGCAAAAATGTAGTAAACTGTGCAACGAACAGCCAATAATGAGTCTGGTTGCCAAGTGACTGAAATATAGTCATGTGGCTGGAGGGGACAGAACTTCAGAATTGGCCTGTAACTTTGGAGGGGTTGTGGTGGTCTATCATAACTTTGAATGGTCACTAAATGACCAGTTGTAAGTTGAAGACTATTAGCTTATCAAACTAAAAGCACATTAACTTTGTTCATGACTAGAAGTACTTAGTTTTTCATGCACACCCCATTACTTTTTCTTTTCAACTCATAGTTGGATATCAAACTACCTTAATACTTCAGCCCTGAACTGAAACTCTTCTACAATAAAAACTTCACAGAAAGTGTGATCTGTGCTATCGATCATTTTAGTAAATGGTGCTTGAAAATTCCAAGACACATATTAGCATTTATTTTGGCATTTACATACATATACATGTACAGACACACATTTAAAGTTGTCAGCTTTGATAGAGAAATTGCTGGACTTCTGAAATTTTCTTGATTTGTAAAACACTTTGTAAACACTTTGTTCTTTGTTGCTTCACTCAATAGGTTTTTCATGTCATGTTACAGTTGGAATAATTCAACTTAAAAGATGCTTCTTCCCAAGAAACTGAACTTTTCTATCAAAAGCGGTTGATCGAATTGGAGAATTAGCTTCATAAAAAGGATTCATTGCAAACTGAAGAAAGAAAGAATATAGTGAGAAAGTTTAAGAATCAATTTGCCTGATGACCTATATTGAATCACTTGGTCTGTGCTAATGTCCTGGAAATTTATAGCAACCTACCATTAATGATTGATTCTGTTTTTAGATGAAAAAGTAGACAGATAATGCCTTGTTTCTCCTCCAGGAAGACTTATTTCTATTTCTGCAATGAAGATTTTCAAAGAACATTGATCTACGTTAACTAGCTAATCTATCATACTGATTTTCCTGTAGTTCCTGGAACAATTTTGAACAAAATGCATTCTATCTCCATCCAATTCATAGATGTATGGAAAACCGGCTGTTCTGGGAATAGAATATTCCAGATAATTCCTCAACATTCTCTTCCTATCCTGAGACCAGACAAATCTACAGAGGAGGAA